ACGCGGGCGGGCTGCAGCCGCGGCGGCGCTCGGGCCCTCTTGGGGGTGAAGTTCCACAACTGTCTCCTGCCGACTGCTTCACGGACGCGTCGGAAAAGGACATGGCTCTAAGGTTGAGGAATCACAGTAGTGCGCAGCGGGTACAGCAGGGAGCGAACACTTGTGAAACTCCGACGGAAGCAGCTCCCAGCCCTTTCTTAAAGCACTTTTTTTTGTTTGCATTCAGGGAAACCGACTGCAGGCTTGTTTGATCCAACGTTCTCTTTGCACCATACACATATAAAACATTACAACTCTGTATAAAAGTACAAGTGGTTCTTGTACATCTGAATTATGCAGGAACTATGTGAGCAAACCCTATCAAAATAGCTATTTTTTTTTTTGAGTGTGTATAAACAGCATTTGTTTTTAGAAAAAACAATATAATAAACTGCAGAATCTGTACAAAAATATAAAATAAATTTGGGCAGCAGTTTCTAAACAGCCATGTAAATGCAACACTTAAAGAGGAGCAGGTTAATGCCTCCAAAAGGCTGAGTTTGCTAAGTCAACCTATACAGGGCTAAAATGGTATCGAGATTATCTAAATAATAAAATTTTTTACCTCTTGCAATAAAACTTATAGAAAAAATAGACAAATATGCACATGCAATTTACAGCTTTCCCCAACATAATCCTTGTGCTTAGCTTTTTCTTTTTTTTTTGTTTCTTTTTGTTTTTTTGTAATAACATAACATTGTCTGCAATACATATTCTTTCCTATACCGGGATATTCGGTCTTCCTTGAGGAACCACTTTAAAAAAAAAAAATACATTAGAAGTGGTCATACGTGGATGAAGGCACTCCAACTCTGCTTGAAGCAAAAACTAGTGTGATCCTTTTCTTTTCCAAAAAGGCAAGCAAGGACGCATGCACAGTGCTGTGGGAGGGGCTATGGAAATACTACCGAGTGTATATACTGGTACTTAAAATGAAACTTTTAAAACAAAACCAAAACAAAAAAAAAAGATGCTCTATTTCTGTATTTTAAGACCCAACAAGCACCTCCATGATGTGATCCAGTTCCGTGAGGTCCATTTTGAAAGGCTGATTGGGAGTTACTGGTTGACTGCTGTACGGAGCAAGAGTTTTTAGGAGCTCATCTGCTGAAACAGGAGCCATTTTTGAGGCAGCCCCCGTGGCAGACGTGCAGGGGTCAAAATCATACATGGACGTATCAATGTCAGCAAAGAGGATGTCGTCCAGGGTCAAGTCCGTGAGGAAACCCGTGGAAGTTGTGATCTCGAAGTTGCCAGGTAGCGAGTCGATGAGTTTGGATTCAGCCGTTCTGCTCTCCGGGAGGCCGTCAGGCTTTTGAACGCTGGACTCGCTGGGGTGGTCTTTAGAGTCCGGGGCTGCTGTGGCGGCCGCCACTGCCCCTGCGGGCGGTGGCCGCCCGCTACTGCCTCTGCGGAGGTAGGTGCTGGACAGAGCTCCTCGATTTCGTCCAAGGCTGAGGAGAAGCTGTCCTTCACTGGTTGGAGAGCAGGAGGTGGCGGTTTTGTCGGACCATCGTGCTGGACAGCCGGGGAAGTGCAAAAAGTGTCGTCCTCCAGTAAAGAGGCTGGGGTGAGGCAAGACTCCAGGGGCGTAGTGCTTACGAAGTCAGCGGGGAGAAGGGGCTGGGAGGCGAGGTGGCTGAACGCCGGCTGGGCCTCGCGGAAGTTGTCGCCGAGAGGGTCGGCGGGCTGCGAAGCGGTCACGAACACGGGCCTCAAGTTGCCTTCTTGTTTGAGTTCCTCCTGGATTCGCCTCAACATGTTGTTGATTAAAACTGTCTTTTGCAAGCTCGGCTCAGTTAAGGGCCTGTGGTTGTAAAGTTTCATAAGGGAAATGTTGAAGATAGTCTGACGCTGTAAGGTGTAAGACACCTTAGAGGGACCATCAGTAGGAGACACCACTTTGCCTTCCAACCCATCTTCATGCTCGTCAAACTTCCGCTTTCCTCCTTTCCCCAACATATATCTGAAAGGAAAGAGAAGGGACCGATGAGGTCAGCAAAGCCTGAAGCCTGTTCTTCCCACCTGAATCCCCACCCCAGTCCACCTACTCCCTTGCACAGGCAGCACTGACCGACTGGCCGCTCTGTCCCCTCCCCACTTACCCCCCCAGCCACAAGTGGACATCTGTCGACAGAAATAACTCGCTTTTGGCCCACGGCAGCATCACAGAATCACAGACTGGTTTGGGTTGGAAGGGACCTTAAAGACCATCTAGTTCCAACCCCCCTGCCATGGGCAGGGACACCTTCCACTAGACCAGGTTGCTCAAAGCCTCATCCAGCCTGGCCTCGGACACTTCCAGGGATGGGGCATCCACAGCTTCTCTGGGCAACCTGTGCCAGTGACTCACCCCCCTCTCTGGGAAGAACTTCTTCCTGATATCCAATCTAACCCTCCCCACTTTCAATTTAACCCCGTTACCCCTTGTCCTGTCACTACAGGCCCTTGTAAAAAGCCCCCCCCAGCTTCCTTGTAGCCCCTTCAGGTACTGGAAGGTGCTATAAGGTCTCCCCGGAGCCTTCTCTTCTCCAGGCTGAACAAGCCCAACTCTCTCAGCCTTAATCATGAGGAAGCAGAATTGGCCTTAGTGCAGTGCTCTGGTCCGTCGTGACTAAGCACAGCTATGCTGGTTAATTCCAAGCAGGAATTCAAACAGCATCTATAGAACTCAAGCCCTTGGCACGCTTGGCAGCAGATTTCACTCTTGCCTATGTTAAGTTTATGGTCCCCAAATATTTGTACATAGGTGCATGAGCTACAGATACTGAACACTCCTATAAATTTTCCAACTGATGCAGAACTCTGCCGGGGAACACAACCCGGGGTTCTTACAATTTAATTTCCCTTTTTATTCAGAAGCGTGCTCACAGGGGGAAAGGGAGCGCGGCTCAAGCAACTGTAGCGAGAGCAACCTCCCCAGTGGAGTCAGGAGATTCAACCTGTTAGCACACCCTATGCACATCCGACTGTGTGGGTTTATTTAGCTGGTTGCCTAAGGACTAAACTACTAGAGCAGGACGTACACTTGTTACAGTCGGATAAATTACAGATGAAGATGATGATCCGTCAGGTCTTCCAGTCTAATCTCCAAGGCCATTCTCTGCACTACACTGCTGCTGCGGCCAGGGCCTTCAATCCTAACAGTGCCTGGGTCCCACTTGGAGGACAGGGGCAAAGCCTCAACGGAGTTTGCTGTCACCTGAAGCACTGAGCACCCGGCTCCCAGAAGCAGGCACCCAGGAGCACCCCGTGTCCCCCAGTCTGAACCAGGCTGGGTGCACGGGCCCTGCCTGCCCCTTGCACGGGGGCAAAGCGCTGCACCCCCACTGGCGCATGAGACGACGGCAGCTCTGATGGGGCTGGGGTGGGCTGCGCTCTCGCACATCCCCCCCCGCTCCTCTGGGTAGGAGACGCATTTTCACACAGCGGCGTCGGAAATCCTTTCTCTGCTCCCGCCTGGTGAAGGCGACTTTCAGGAGCTTGCTAGCCCCAGAGAGACCCAGCTTGTGCACCAGAGCCAGAACGCCTCGCTCCAGACGCACCGCTGGTCTTCACTTCTCCCCCGTCAAAGCCAGGACCTCGCTCAGGACTACATCCGTGGCAGGCTGCATCTGAGAACCAAGGAATCCTGTAGGGCTTTCCAAAGAACAAAAATCAGCATAAATACCCGTGCTTTTCCCCTGGTCAGATGGCAGATTTTGAAGAAGGAAACAAAGGGAACTTCACCAAACTCGCCCTGCGTCATCCATTATTTCTCAGCTCAGAATAAGTAGGGCAGTTCGATCCCCAGTGCCGTCTCTTCCAGGATGTTTCCAAGCACCTGGAAACACTCCTCGACACAGCTTGGGCCCAGCCTCATTTTGTCACCGTTATTTTTGTGACGCGAAGATTCCCCCCCAGACGCAGAGGAACGCAGGAATTGCTGTGCTGCGACAGAGGCAGGACCTAACGTCACGCGTCCGGACGGGGAGGGCGGTAGGGTCAGCGACCCTCTGCCCCGCACACCACCGTGATGACCGGGGCTCGGTCTGCCGAAACACCCGCGGTTAGGTGGGTGAAACGGCGCAGTCCGTGCCAGAGGCACTTCCCCAGGGGCTTGGGAGATGGCAGGTTGCCCCCGAGTCTCTCCCCCACAACCTGCATGGACCCGGTTTACCAGACAAGCCGTTTTACCAGGTCTGAATCAAAACCAGGAGGAGCAGGGGCCGTTACTGCTCTTCACGTGCCCGTCCCACAGGCTGCATCAAAGCAGCCAAAGCAAAGCCCCACGGAGACAGGGGTAGGATGGCAGGCGCTGCAGAGCGGCACCCTGCGCTCGGCACGCTTCCACGGCACAGGCCAAACGTTCGGATTTCCTCTCGTTTTCCCAGGCAGAGCGGGAAGGTTCTGCAGCGCTAACCCCGTCACCCTTCTAACAGGCTCAGACAGCCCCCTGTTCACCCCCACAGCCCTCCCTCCATTTAAAGGAACGCTGACGAAGCGGCACGAAGATTTCTGCCTCGATTAATTAATAAATCAATAAATAGTTTTAAAACCCCCACACCACCCCGGTGGAAGATGCCTTCCAGCCCTAGCTACCCAGAGAGAAGTGGCAACAGGCATGTAGATTTTTTTAAGCCCACACCTGACTCCTCTTGCATGAGCTTTATTAGGCAGCTACCACCTAGCTACGGTCTAGGAGACAAAACTCGTCTTCCTTATTTCAGCACACTTCCCAGCTCCTGCAGAAGGGCCGCACCAGGCAGGTCTAACACCGGTTTGCTTATCAGACACTGGTTCTGCAGGCAGTTAACACGGCTAAGGGCTTGCAAACGTCCCCGAGAACGGCTGGCGAGGGTTTGAGGGCAAAGAGCCTTTGCAAAGTGGGAGAAGGGGGCAGAAGAAGTCAGGGTTTCAATGCAAAAAGGAAAAGAGCTCCTGAAAGCATTTGCTGGACGTTAAATCCAAAATCAGATTGGGTGAAGTGAGCCTCCTCTGGTTAAAAATAAGCCCCAAATCCAGATCGTTTTCCAGCATATTATGCAATTAAAAAAAGAAAGGAGGGGGCGGGGGGAAGGGAGCAAGCTGAGCGGAGCGGGTAGGCTGCCATCCAAGCTCCTTGGCCAGCTACCAACGATCCCTGCGCCTGGAATCTCGGGTGAACAAAACCCTCTGAAATTTAGCACTACTGCTGAAGTCTGGTTTTTCTCTGCTCCCTAGTGTCACTTCCACGGACTACTCCAGAGCTGTGCACATGGGTCTGGGGAATGGGGCTTGGGAGGGGGAAACCTTGGCTGTTCAAACGTTCACAACACACTTCCACTTCGGACAGACAGAGCAAGAAAAGGAGGACCGGGCTAAGCAAGAACCGAACCCCCTGCCCAAGTCCAGCACATTTTCAACACAGCAGTGGGTTAGGAGGAGAGCTACCAGCTTTTCCTCCCTTCCTACTATCTCCTCCCCCTGAAAAAAGACAGACTGTCCTAAAGACATACCAACGCTCCTTCCGCAATGCTCTATTTAAAGGAGAAAATGTTAAACAGCTTGGGGATCAGGAGAGTTTTGAAGTTTGTCGGGCTCTGCAAGGAACATAGGATATTATTCACTGCGCCAAGCAAACCTTTTTTCCCCGTGATAAGGAAAACGGACCGTTCGGGCGGCCACGCTCCGTTTCCTGCGCCTGATTATTAATTATTATTGTCAGGGGAGGTCGGCAGGCATTTCGAATGCACCCAACTGGGCCCACATGCATGCAAGACTGAGGTGCTGGCAGTTAAGACATTTTTTTAAGCCGACCGGTAAGAGCTACGGGGTGTTCATTAGAAAACACAACAATAACCTCACTACGTCATTTTCCAGGAAGCTTAGAAATGATTCAAGGTTTCCTGTACGCATGACTGTCAAGCTTTCACATCTCGCTCATCTTCACGTAGCTTGGTTCAGAGTTTGTCCTTTTGAAAGGTAAAATACATCAGGCACCTCCCAGTTTCACCCACTAACTTTTCGGCGCAGCTTTCAGTTTCCTTTTCCCCAGAAATGCTCTCCGAAGCAGGTTTAACCATTAGAGCGGCAAAGCAGGACGCCAGCCTAAGGAAGGGGGTTTTATTCCCCCAAACAGGGGGCTCAGATGAGCACTGCTAGACTCTCAGCCTTACCGAGTTTTATTCCTTTCTCCTCTGGCAGGCAGTCGGGAATTGTAAAATTTTCCTCCAGTTTCCATTAATCACTTTATTCATGCTAAGCAAAGCAAAGGGGCAGGACCTTTTTAGACCAAGGGAGAGAGTTGATAAAAACAGACATGCTTTCAGGTTTGCAAGCCTTTCTCAGGGTGCCCATAAAGGAATTTTACAGTGTCTGACCACCACGGCTTAAGACAATGTTGCCTGCTTGTTCTTTACAGTTCAAACCATCCCTTCCTTCCCTCAACCAACAGTTTCATGCCTACATTAAAGAGACCGATTTTGTGCATCTTGAGATGCTGAGCATTTCAAAAAAAAAGAAAAGGAAGCTGTACAATGCCAACATTTGATCTGACTCAGTTCTGTTCATTTTAAAAACTTTGCTCCTAGCCTTTCCAGCCCAAGCTTCTGCTGCGAAAACGCCAAACTCGCAGATCAGGTTGGCCAAAGACCTGTACTACACGAGCCACACTCGCACCCTCCCAAGGGTCAGAAGACAGAGCTGGCCTACCAAGTCCCATGGGTAGAGTCAATGGGGACAGCAACCCCCCAGAACACACCACTGAACAGGCAGCGACAAAGGGTCACGTCCACGGAGGGTCTTTCGTGCACCCCTTTCAGCTGAGCAGCAACCCCAGATCTCGCAGCCGCACTTCCGCGCCTGCCAGCCAACAACATTTTGGCGCCAGGCATCAGGAGTTCAGATGGGATGTCACTTTGCTGTTGTTGTTTTGATGAAGGGTGTTGCAGGGGTTTGCGATGAGTCAGTTTTCAGTGTTACTTAGGCATGTGGAACCAGAA